AACGGATAAGGTACGACCAGACCAAATAAAACCGGTGTCCACCACCAGTCCTGTTCAGGCTGTAATACCTTCAGTGTTTTGACCCCCATTTAAGACCTAGCTCCATAAAGTAAGAATTTAAACCCAAACAGTCGATAAAGAATGTTAGGACTGGATTTCAGTGGCACCCCACGTCTGGGTGAGCTGCGATTCATGCCCTGCAATTCTCACCCCGTTTTAATCTTCCCCAGTCTCGCTTCCAGTCTTGCTGCGGAGGTGTCGTGTGCACGAACCGTGGTTGGCACGCCGTTGCCGATTTGACTGCTGGCAGGGTCTACATTCCAATGCACCAAAAGAGAAAGGGGTAGCACAGGACAGAACTTATTCACTTCATGAAGTGTCAGCTTGCAGTTTTCCAAAGTAATAGTCGAGGACGCTCCAACTGACCTGCAGTCTGGACCCAGCCAGCCGCCGCATAAGCGGCAATCTAAACATGATGATAGTCAACCCACAACCTTTCTGAAAATTACTACAGCATTGTAACAACTACTATACAAAATAGTGGCAGTAGTATTTCTTGAGAAAATTGAAACTGGAGAAAGTCAAATCTGTTCAACCAACGCGCAAAGATCATTATCGATCGCACAGTCAGTCTTGCACCACAACTCAGAATTCTTCGATGACGCATATTTTGGGTCTTGGGTGACGCGCATGACGCAATGGTCAACCGTTGCGTGGCAACTATCCGAAGTGTTCAGCTCACGCACAACCTTGTCCTTGCTGTTTTGTTTGCCGGGCCCGCGGGTTTGATGTGCGATGCCTATCGCCACACTGCCCCCATGTCCAATGCGAGGCCCGAGGGAAGACCGATACATGGCCATGAAATGGGCCAGACTGGGCCTGGGAAAGCAACAAAAAACTTGAAGGCACAGAATGGGAGAGACGTACATGATTGCATTCTGTCCGTGCAGGAGAGAGGTGCAGCTCAAGCTAAAGTGCTTCCTTCTGCCTGGTGCAGCCGTGTCAGTGGCGGCCACAGTTTGGTAGATCACGACGTGCTGGTGCTGGCGCTGGGCTAGGCTAGGCCGGTGTATGCACAGTCCCACTCATGAACTCAGTGGATACCGTTCAAACGAAAGTTTAGCGTTAGCATCTTGCACCATTCACTTGTACATCGAAGTGTTCGTGAGTCGTAAGCAATAATCAGCGGGAAGACCTTGCGGGCTGGGTCGTCCGCTCGACAATGGCGTCGCTTGAGGAGACTGTGAAGCGGACGCAGGATATGTTCAAGGAGTTGATTCGCAAGCCGCCCTTGACGGACAAGCTGCTGTCGCGGCCGCCATTTCGTTACCTGCATGACGTGTTGATGGAGGTGAGTGGCTGATGCATTCATACAGTCACTGTGTCTCTGTCTGTAACTTACTTACTTGTCTCATAATACCGTGTGCGGTCTCTGCGAATGTATCGACTATTTGTACTGATACCGCCGTCCCACCCCACCCCCAAATGCACAGTGACTAAAGTCAAAAAAAAAGAGAGAAGAAAGTGCATGAAACATGATTGTACAGCCTAACGGTTCCTACTTTACTCTCTTCATCAGTATTCAATCGGACAATCCCCTTTGCGGTCCCCGTCACCAGGTCACTAGTCTAGGTGTCAGTAGGCTCTGCCAATGTATTTCCTATGCCTGAACACACATTCCTGTACTAGACGAGTACATTCATGTATCAGATTCAGCACTTACATCTATGCCTTTGTGGGGAGTTTGAGAGTTCAGCAAATCATAGCTCTTTTTTTCCAGCAGCCCCCCCCCCCCCCTTGTGTTCAGAGATTGTGGGTTTGTTTGCGGAGAGGTAGTGAGCCTGGTACAGTAGGTATCGGTTGTAGCGTGGGTGTTTGAAAAACGACTTTCTATTCTTATTTCCGATATTTTTTACACACGATAAATCAAGTGTGACATATCATGTGCATTTGCGCAGAGGCAGGAAGATCATCGTACATGCAATGTAGTGTTAGGTGCATGCGGCTGGTTATAGTCACATAGGCTTACCATGTGGCTATGCAATATGAGTTACATGACCACAACAGTTGAACCTGCAGCACTACGACCCAACGCGAGTCAGATCAGAACTGCATTGGACGGATATTATTACTACAGGCGATATACTTTGTACTAATCTGGCTTGTTTCGCTACACAAATTCCATTCTTAGGACCGATATATTCTACTGTACGATAAAATTGCTTGTAAGAATAAATGTGCACTTGAAACCCACGTTATGATTATGAGAACATGAGAGTTCATTCTTGTAACACTGTACACGCTGTACACTGATGTCTACATGTACATTAAAACGTTACACTGTGGGTGCTCGAGTGCTGCCGTACAGAGCTGGAGTCGATAACGCACAGACTAGAGTCCTAGGCTGACACACTGGCATAGCCATTCCAAACCTCTCGCACTTTACATGTAGTCCTCTAGATATAGGCCACATGTAGGGTGTTTGCCCGGCAGTGTCTGGCTTGCTTCCAAGCATATTTCGACTGAAGAAGAATCAGACACTGATAGGGGTAGGGTGGATATAATTTAAATCGCTTCACGTAAGTTGCGTCCATATGCCCAAAGCTTGCTTTCAGGGGACGCACAGAATGCAAGGTAGGACAGACACCGGCACGCATTGTGCTTTTCTCCATGCCTGTTTCTTGTGTGTGTGTGTTGTGTAGCTTGGACGCAAGCACAAGTTTCTGAAGGGACTCTACTCAGGTGCAGAGCTGGACTCTGAACAATTGAAGGTCGGTGCATGCATTGGTTTAACTGTAGATTGATACTTGTACATGTACATTGCAGTGGAACTCACTTAGTACATACACATGCTCCGATAAGACGTACATTTGTATTGTACAGTCCTGCCCAATGAAATCCAGTCGCGACGTCACTCAAGTAACTGTTAGTTTGCGCCTTGCATCAATAACATGTACACAGTAGTCATGCAGCCGATATGCAATGTGTCATGTTGTGAGTAACAGTTACTACACACTAACTACAGTATTAATCAGCGGGTGGCACTTCGATGTTGTCTTGTAATTTCTTGCGTCCGCTCAACAGGAAAAAGAAGCCAAGCTTGCATTCTTACAGAAGAGTATCGATGCAGTTTGTAAGTATGCCTACAGAAGAGGTTTCTCTCCTCCTCCTCCTCCTCCTCCTCCTCCTCCTCCTCCCCCCCCCCCCCATCTCACCCTCTCCCATCCCAGAAATAATTAGCCTTCCAATATTGGCCTACCTAGGCCAGGCTAGGAAAATAATGATAATTAATTGATACTGTTGCCTCCCCCCCCCCCCCCCCCTCCCCCAATAAGGGGCTCTATAAACTCTCATGATGTTCCATGGTTAGCAGTGTTTGCTGTTTGCAGTTTTCCTGTCCTGTAGTTATTGCAATGCACATGTACGCAAGGGTATTCCCACACTATGGCTTCTGTACAAGAGCAGTGGCTTGCATATCTACTATGTATCTGTTGGTACAGCCGCATGTGCTTAATGAAATCTGAGCGAAATCTTTAAACGTACGTGGGTAACAAACTGTATGGTACCCTGTCCAACTCTATGATGTCTTGTCCAATTCCCCTTCCCCCAACCATCTGTACGGTGCCGTGCCCAGCAGGCTGGTACATGGCAACAGGTACCGCACTGAACCGATTTAACCTTTCCCCACAAGGTCGGACTTTGCTGAGCACAACGTTCATGCTGTACCATGAGCTCTTTGTACGTGCGGTGAGTGGCTCTTGCGTCCAATCATGCCTCCTCTGTTATAGCTTTGAACATGATGGGATGTTTCCGACTGTGCATGTGTCTGTGTATCTCTGCGTGCAGCAATCATACAAGGCGCACCGGTATTATGCAAGGCAGCAAAGATGATCTCCGGTCAAGATGCGGACAAGACTAACGAGTTCCTGCAGCAGATGGCGCAGTGCATTATCACTAAGGTAAGTCAGTGTACGGATTAGGCTACATCGGTATATCAGTGCTGTTGATCTGCACCACCAGAAGCTAGAGGCAGCAAAGCCAAAAACAACACCTGTATTATGTGACCACCTGTCTTGGGAGACAATTCATCTCAGGCCCTGCACCACTTCTCAACATGCAGTCTGACCTGTGTTGAAAGACCACCTGTCTTGAAAGACCAGCAGTCCGAACCCGTGATTCGAAGGTCGCCAAACACCGTGACGGGGTAGAGAGTAGAGGTTGAGGCGTCACTGCACCACGGAATGGACCTTGGAGCATGCTGAAATGGAGTATTGGTGTGTGCACTGAATGTTGTATCTCACGGACGCAACCATTCACTTTTTCTTCTCCGTTCTGTTACCCATTGCGCTGCAGAAAGACAGCTCCGATGCAGTCAAACAGGTATTGGCCGGAAAGGGAGCAAAGAGCAAAGAGCCATCAAAGGCAAAAGAGTCATCGTCACGTGACAAGAAGAGCAAAAGCACCAAAGAACCCACAGGAACCGCGTAAGGCTCTATGACTGGATACTTACTGGAATACTACTTGTATGTGCACTGCCTTGTGCCTTTGGTGCATGTATTTGGCGGCATCTACTAGTATTTTCAGGGAACTCGGGAAGGGGACAGTAGATAAGACAGTTAGAAACTTCACTATAACACAGGGTCCTGCAATGTACTCCGTGCACCTTGGGGCGAGGGGAGGGGGAGGGGAAGGGGGAGGGGCAGGGCAGGCATCAGCACCGTATTATTCCACTTCGGCTACCGCCCCACACAGCCATATATGGCATAATTCACTAGGTACGACAGTATAACCTGAGATAACGTAATGCGCCCCGGGTTCTAGCTAGAAATCAATACTCAAAGCCCCCGCATACCAACACATACAAGCCAGGGACATCACACATGGTACAACCAGTATGACCATGGTCAAATCCGATGTTTTTCCCCGGGGACACCCCGACCCCATCATACCAATCCCCACTGCCCTGTTGCGCCCCATGCAAACCGTGTATGGTGTATGTTGCACAGCTGCGTGGTTGTGATTATGATCGTGATCGTCTGTACAGGGAAGCAGCAGCGGCGGCGGCGCCATCGACGGTGGCAGAGGCCGCTGCCGCCGTGGCTGCGGGCGAGGACGCTGGTGCAGCACGCGAAGGCAGGAGAACAAAACGCCCAAAGGAGGTGCGTTGGCGGCCAGAAGTGGTTTGCTCAGCATGCAGTGATCACCGTTTTAATGAGTTTGAAGACTTTATCACCATAAAGCAACTGCGTTTTAGTTTGCCAAAGACTTAAAGATATTTGAACAGGCCATGGTTAGTGTGATTGTGATATGAATGCGAACATAGTTTTATTTTAGGCATTGCTTCAGTAAAAGATAAATTTAGAATTCAAGTACATTGTGCGTGTACAGTACTGTGGCATGATCAGTCTGTACTCTGCAGTACTGTGGCATGATCAGTCTGTACCAGTCTGCAGTAGACACTACACCGATGCATCACTGTGTACATTCACTGCATGTATAGCTGTTAGCCTGCCAGTACTGCAAAGCCATTGACCGGCAATGTGCACACTTGCCCACAGGACGAGAGCAAGGCGTCCAAATCCCGAGACAAAGACAAGGAGAGAAGAAGAGAGGGCAAGTCGAAGGACGCCGGCGAATCCCACGGCAAAAAGGAAGAAGGGAAACAGGATGACTCTCAACAAGACAGTCGACCGAGCAGAGACGAGGACAAAGAACGGCGCCGCAGGGAACGCAAGGAGCGAGAGCGAGCAAAAGAGGTAGCTGAACATGTTGTGTGCATGGGTAGCTGTAACTGTTAAAAAATAAAAATAAATATAAAATTAGCTTTTTTGCTCTAGTTTTTCTGCTGCACATCATTACTGCACTGCGATTGGCTGTGATTAGAGAGGGGTGAAGAGGACGTCCTACTGGTGAATGGTTGATGTTCTATCAAGTACTGTAAAACGGGTAACGTTTGCGACAATAAATGTTTGCGTTTTACAAATTGAGACTGGTTTGCGCTGTTTAATGTTTGCGATTGAATACACACATATTGAATACATACTTCTTTGAACTTTACATGGCGCGAGTTTGCGTTGTTCAAAGTTTGCGATTCGGGGCCTCTCGCAAAATTCGCAAACATTTTTACGTTGCAATAGTTACCCGTTTTACAGTAACTTGGTCACTGACCATGCACAATGCAGTTTAGAGACCCACTTGCCGATGCCTATTTCCTTTTATCCACACCTGGATGCAGGGCAAGAAGAAGGAAGAAGAGGTCGACGAGAAGACAGCAGCGGCGGCAGCGGCAGTAGCAGTAAGTCCCCGACACAAACACAGTACATGTACAGTCATGCCCCTGGTGATGCTAGTACAGTCAACTTTACGTATAACCACACTTGGAGGGGCATCAGAAAAGTGTCCATATTCGCAAAGCATCCTTATATCCAAGTCTCATTATAACTTATGTAAACCGTTAGAAGGGACTTTGCTCTGGGCATGGAAATTCTGTCGTTATTCGCGAATTGTCGTTATATCTGCAGTCGTTATTAGCCAAGTTGACTGTACACTATTTACATCCGTTTGTTCATGTACCGGCTTGCCGCTACGCTGCACCATTCATTACTATGCGTTCGTGGCACTCGGGTTTTCCGTATTTTTTAGTAGGGCACGACCTCTGCTCTGTCTGCATCCTGATGTTTCAATCTTGACTGTGCTCTGTCTTTCTCACATATAAGACAGAGCATGGCTGTGCACTTTCCCCGGTGATCCTGGTCAGTTTAGTAATGTAGGTTATATACCCAGTGTAAGCTGTTATCAACGAGAAAACCTGACCTCTCCTCACGGACTCCAAGCTTTGCTACCATGATTACAATGCACAGACGGGTACTGGCGAACATGAAGGTGACGTGTGAGTGTGTATACCGTTTGAGGTAGACAAAACTGGCCTGTGTGCAGGGGTCCATCTGCCAACCACAAGGAAGGAGATTGCATCAAGGCTTACGGAAATCGGAATACCCAAATGGGAGAGCAAGGCAATCAGATGATGACAATTGAGTTATGGCAGTAATTCACCTATTCACACAACTATGTCATCGCGTCTTTGGTACTGAATTTGATCATTTGAAAATCTTTGGTATTTGATGTTGCTGTCTTTGTGTAGGCCGAGGGAGCATCAGCAGACGGAGGTGAGAGACCGCCGTCGCCAAAATCTTCCCGGCGTGGGAGACAGGAGGCCGATAAGCCATCTCCCCCGACCGGGAAGAAATCTGGCGATGCGACCGGCATTCAGGAACCCGACTTCCTTCGGCCACCACTCCCACCAGGACAGCGTAGCTCAGGGTAGGAGAGACTGTTTTGGATTTGGAAAGAAACATGCAATGAAATGATTCATACACAATAATTATGTAGTACCTGGTGGATGCAACCCGGCAGTTCTTGGTCTGTTTACTTGTGGATCAGACACTGAGTTCCTTTTTTGTTTGGATTTTGCACCTGCAGTGTATATATTTCTTGACTCTTTCCTTGCTCTTGATTCGGTCTAGGAGTGGCAAGCAGCAACAGCAGCAGCAACAGCAGCGAGGACCTGGTCGACCCAGCAGTGCACGTCCAGCTCCTCCTAAGGTCCGCTCTCGACAGGACTCGGCAGGGTCTGAGGACGCCTTGTCCAGGTGTGTGTGTGTGTGTGCGTGTGTGTGTGTGTGTGTGTGTGTGCACGTGCATGTGCATGTGTGTGTGTGTGTGTGTGCGTGTGTGTGTGTGCACGTGCATGTGCATATGTGTGTGTGTGTGTGTGTGTGTGTGTACGATATTTCCCCGACTATAAGTTGCGACCCCCAGTTTCAGGTTTGAACCATTTAAAAAATAATAATATATTTGTATAAGTAGGATGTCACACTGGATTGGAGGTCCTATCCCTTTCTTTGCCCTTGAAGTTGTAGTTGAAGTTTAGTGTAAAAGTCGCGACTATGTCGGTTCGGAGGAACACGGTATATGTGTATGTGTACTGTGTATATCCGTCCGCTTGTTTGTGTCCTTACTGACGGACCGTATCACGTCTCCACATGTGCGTTCCACTGCACCGTGCTAACCAGAGTCAGCTCCAACGTAACCGTCCAGCAGCCACCATTGGTTGTGGACAACAACGACGACGATGACGACAACGAAGATATGTTCGTGGTGGACTCTGCTGTAGCGCCGAGTGTCGAGGAACAACCGGTTGGTACTGACATACAAGTAATCGAAATGAGTTGGGGGGGGGGGGGGAGGGGAGATGGGGAGAGGGAAGTGGGAGGGGGGGGGGCATCCTTCTTCTGAGTTCAAGTTAACATCTGCTTTTCTGTTTACAAAAATACATAACATTTAATATGCTCAAGTCTATAGTAGACTCTGTACCACAGCAAGTCGAACTCCATGAAGTATCCTGACACAAAGTTTAAATGATGGTGATGCTACAGCTAATATGCATGGGTCTGCATGCTCAGTAAGTCTGGGACATGTGCACCTTTGGAATACTCTGCTACTCTGCTGTGATGTATGTCTTGCATATCGTGTCAGACTGGACCTACGCTAGATGTCAGTGACGATCCTTCGGAGCATGGTAAGCAATCAATACATGACGTGTATGGAGTGGAGTGCGGCGTGTTGTAGTCAATGTGAACACGGTTTGCTCAGTTCCTGGAAGAGTTATCACACATCCAGTCTCACGGGTACTGTCATTACTACTTGTAGTATGCTCTCGGAGGATGTGATTAAGTCACGGAGGTGTAGCCGAGACTAGTTCTTTGGACAATGGCCTTCATAGACTTGCAAGCACTGTGAAGGGTCTGGGATGGAAGTTGTGAGAGAAGCAGGCTGTGAAATATTTTCAAACATTGCAGCAATGGTTTGGTTTCCCTGGATACAAGGTATAATGTAGTCAGGGGCGTCGGAACCGGTGCGGCAGGTGTGGCCAAAGCCACACCAATAATTTCATCTAGTGATTTTTGAAGCAATGGAATATGGGATACAAGTAGTTGAGCCCGATTTCCCTAACATTTTCCTAACGGAAGAGCCCTGGACCCTTCATCCATTCATGGCCGCACCAATGTCGTTTACTTTCCGACGCCCCTGGTAGTGCACTGTTCTGTTGGAATTTGACACTCTGGTATGCAAGGTGCGCTACAGTAGCATACCAGATGTGTACTGGATATCTCGTGTTCTGCACGATTCTTCATGGGAAGCACGCACACGCACGCACTCACGGACACAAACGCACACACACACACACACACACACACACACACACACACACACACACACACACACACACACACACACACACACACACACACACACACACACTTGTACTGAACCTGGAACAAAGGTGGATGCTGGTAATGTTCCTTTTCAATGTTCTTATTCTGCATCTACGTACGCTCAACCTGATGCTCTGCAGGTATGCTTGTGCGAAAGATTCTGGATACGCGGAAAGAACAGGAGCAAAGTCTTGCCAAGTCCGCTCCAGCACAGGTAAGGCGCAGGTTGCACTGGCTATTTACACCTGCTGTAACATCGAGTTGTGGCAAGTGAAATGAAATCCCGTGCACGCAGCACCGCTTGACTGGCCTGAGTGTGGCAACGCGCAGCGGCACACCGTGCCTGCAAGCTTGGCAATCCGGTGCAACCTCCGGTGCCGCTACACTCCATGTACTCCGTGATGGTTGCACATCATTCCTGAATGGAATGTTATTTACTGTGACTGTTTAAAAATATCCTCAGCCAATCCCCTGTGTCTTGTTTCTGTGTTTGTTTCCACATGTCTCTTTGTAGGGCTGTGTTCCCAGAAAAAAGAAAAGAATAAAGTTTACTTATTCAAACTGGTTGGACTATTTGTACTCTGGACCATATCAACTTGTCAGGGTCGCTTCTTTTGATTGATCACATCACTTGTTAGGAGGAGGTGGCTCTTGTTTCAGTGGGAGCAATGCCGGGATTGACAGCCCAGCACTATGCTAAGAGTTCTGGCTGCGTGTCACTTGGTCAATATGAACATGACATATGAACTGATTTGGCCTAAGCAAAAAGTGTTATTCCTGTTCTCCTTGAAGCTTACCTGCAGCCTTGGGTGTAGCTGGGTCCTTGCGACTTTTGCAATGCATACTTACGTTTCCATTGCTTTGCACATGCATGCGGTGATCTGTTCTGTTTAGGAATCTGCCGCCAGCATAGCACAACGGAGAAAGCGAAAAGAGAAAACCGAGAAAGAGGTGGGCGAGCATTTGCTGGATCACGTCACCATGACATCATTATTATTATTATTATTATTATTATAGACAACACCTCATGGCATGAGAAGAAAATCAGCCAGTACGGGAGATGTGGGTGTTAACCAACCATGGTGAATAAAAGAAGAAAAGTAATGGTCAAGACGGAGAAGCATGGGAGGGACATTTGATGGTGAATCTAGTGAGCAGATTTAAATGCGTCCAGGGTACTGGCATTGCGCGTAGTAGCGGGCAGCGCAAGCCAAGCAGAGTAAGCAACAAAGAGTGGAGAGCGTACAAGGGAGGACGTTATGACATCATTATGACATCACTGTTACTGGCACTTACTGCCGATGATTCTAGAATGAACAGCCATGTGCATAACCGAATTACTTGCTGTATTTCCATTTGCCAATGCTGTTGGAGCAGTGCAATGAAATCTTCTTGTGTGGTGTTGATGGTGTGTTAGGCTATGCAGGAATTGGTACAAGATCTTGTTTAAGAGGTCCATACTCCATAGCTAATTAATGCATGATACGGGTCGTGTTTAGCGAAAGCCAAACCTTAGAGAACTTCCATACAAAGTTGGCAACAATGTCAAAAAGAGATTTCCTTCAATTTTTATGAAAGCTGCAAGGTTCATTCTGCTGGCTGCAGCCCATAATTATGGTGTTTGTGTCATGATGCAGTGAGCATTGCAATGGACCATTTCTGGGCTGCATGACTTGTTTGTGAGTGACGACTATCATGCATGACCACTCTGGGTGTTTCCTCGCTGCCCATCTCCAGGTTGCCTCTCTGCGAGAAAGTGTACAGGCGCTGTGCCGTAGCGCTAACCCGCTTGCTAAAACCGTGGATTCTATCCAGGTATGTCACAATGTACAGTTAAACCTGGTGTAAGCGACCTCTGTGTTTAGCGGCCACCTGCTCTTAACGACCGTTTTTTCCATGCACCGACAGTTCTACACAGACACTGTGGAACCTGGTTCTAAAGACCACCTGGATTTAACGACCGCGTTTGCTTGCACCGTGGGGTGGTCGCTTAAACCAGGTTTTACTGTATATAAGATCCAGGTATGTCACAATGTACGTACGGTAGACGGCATCAGAGACGACCCGGAGCATTATTAATGGAGTGTGCACGGTGCATTTCTCTCACCTTGTGCTGGTTCTAGTCACGGTGCAGCAGCAGATCCTCAGTCATGCACAGTCATCTGAATACTGTTTGCTATTTTTAGGCAATGTACTTCCCTCGTGCCGCGATGATTCTAACGTTCCCGGTCATCGAAGCCTCCCCACCTACTTACTCACTGATAAGTATGGGTCATGGTGGGTGGATGCAGGTTTCAGGTTCTAACCAAAAAGGCAAATACCAGCTTAGCACAAAAGAATGCTGGTCCTTGTGAACAGGTGGTCTCACAGTGCAGGTGTAAATATGATGCTAAAGTTTGGTATTGGTCCCAAGAAGATTGGCCTCTAAAGACAGGTGGTCTCTAAATACAGGTGGTCTCTTGCAGCAGTGATTGCTAATGACAGGTGGTCCCTTACAGCAGTGATTGCTAATGACAGGTCTACTGCGTCTCATGGACACACTGTGACCCTCTATGGAATTGCTGATGGTTGGCCTGGGTATGTCGTTGAAACTTGCGCTTCGATGCCCGCAGCACAACAAAACAAAACGTAAGGTGTTCTGCAGCACTGGTGCTTACTGTCAGCAAGAGTACATGAAAACCAGAGTGTGCAGCTCGGATGGGTTGCTGTCACAGCGGAATTCCGTGATTACATCATTTTAGTGATGTAGTGCGTACAAGTAGGATTCAAGCAGGTCTCTTTCTGCACAACTGCAGCTCAGTTGTACGCACTACGCCATTTCCCGCCTCTGATCTGCGCCAAATATGATGTAATCACGGAATTTCGCCGTGACAGACACCCATAGCAGAAAAGGCCCCAAGCTGCACACTCTGGTTTTCATATACTCTTGCTGTCAGTCAAGCACACCGCACCACTGTACAGTTCCCGACTCAGTACTGTTTCCCCGGTGTGTTTGCATGACACCCTCGCACGTGCAGGAGGACGTGGAGAGCATGCTCCGGGAGCTGGATCACTGGCAGGAACAAGGACAGGTCAACTCGGCGGATCTCATCAAAGAGAAAGAGTAAGCGTAGTTCACTTCCCTGACAGTTTATGTTGCACGAGGAAGTGCAGAGCTGTTATGTGTATTCACTGTCACAAGGGCTCTACACATATCTTCAAAAAGGGCATGGTCACGCTGAGCTTGCATCCTTTTTAGTGTTTAAAAGCACTCCGGCTAGTCATCACATGTATGTATATTATTTGTAGATTCATCGGCTGCTAGAACACATTTAGGCACACATCAGTTATTCTATTCCCGTGTCTCGCTTTGTATCCGCTGGTAGATTAACCGAGAGTGAACTGGAACCTCTGAGACAGAACCTGACTGATTTGGAGGCAAGCGTACTTGAAAAGGTAATTGTCTATGTGTGCTGTGGTATATCTTGCTCAGCTACGTCAAGTCTTTCAGGTACACACCTGAAGTGCCTGACACTTTGTGTTCTTGTGGCGTGTGTATTTGCACACCGTTAATCTGCGTGTGTGTGAGTGTGTGTGTGTGTGTGTGTGTGTGTGTGTGTGTATGTGTGTGTGTGTATGTGACATTATACACTGGATATTACAGTAACTATGGTGATTGTGTTACTGTGGTGACTATACTACCACAGTGACCGCATGCTATGGCAACTCTGTCACTATGGTGACTGTGTGAGTTCTTGATCTGTATGCCGTGTTGTGTGCAGATGGATTTGATTTCAGTGCTGAAGGCTAACATTGCCAAGAATGACCAGCAGATCAACCAATTGGTCAGCGGAATAGCGTTGTCGAGCCGCCAGTGATGCAGCATGAATGCAGTGCGCTATCGGCGGTGTAGCAGTGTCTAGGCCCGGCATGCACCTCACAGCTGTGCCAAGTGTAGTCAGGCCTATAGCGTGGAGAAGGGACCTTCATTGTACCCAACTATCCATGCCCTGTACAAGAGTGGCTGTATGTGTGCTACCGAAGGCTGGCCAGACCATGGTGCAATTAAAGTAGCTCGCTATGTCATCCGCCTAATTGTTTTGCCAGTAGCCCGTCATGCTATGGCATCGCCGACCAAGCACTGGCTTGCCCACCAACTGCTGATATGAGTATATAACACAAGCCTGTTGAACGCCGCTGCCGCACATCCCGGGACAATCAAGCGTGTACGTGAAGATACCGTGATAACAAGTGTACTCCGACTGCTACTGGTACAAACATGTCACTGTATGCGCATGGCAGCCGTGTTGCCTTCCATCCAGGCAGGATCGCAAACACAAATAGAATGATAACAAATAACAACAATAACAATAACAGCACGTTTGGAAAAGTTTTGGGGGAAATTTTGCATTTCTGGACCAAGCCAGGGCCAATGAAATTCACGTCAGATTCCTGCCTTGAGATGCTTATTATTATTATACTATTACCCCGTGTCACGTACAAGGCACTGTGCCAGGGTGGGGTGCCTATGATTTGTGTGCAAAATAGAATATTTTTTGGCTGAAAAACAATCAAAACGAGCGAATTGTACATGTACATAACAACGCTCAATGGCAGTGTTGTAGAGAATGTCTCCGGTATGTACGTTCACGAATATGTGGCTCAAATCATAAAAGCTGAACTGGATTACTTGCCGAACAGTGCGACTTGTACTCCGTTGTATTGCAGCTCACTGGTATTGTGAATGCGGGATGTTGCTTTGGATCTTTTGTTTATTGGAGAGGATGTCTCTGCATGGAGGCTGGTTTGCACAAGGTGCTGTCCTCGAAACGTGAACCGCTGCTGAGCGTGAGTAATTTGCTTTCTCACGCAGTAGGTTTGTCATTCCGTGACACAGGACATCGGGTGTGAGGACAGAGCACAAGGCAGCATGAGTGCTTCGCCATGGTAACCATGGCAGCAGAACATCACTGTTGAAGGGCTTGTACCGGGGTTTTCCCCTTGGCTGCCGGGTCGGTGGATTGTGTTTGTGACCAATCCCATGGTAGACATGACAGTGTGAGTGAGTGGGCCCGCCATTAGAGGGTATAGGAGGAAGTAACAAGTTCAGTATGGTGGCTGCATGCGGGTGTGGCTGCGGCAGCTACAGTACTAGCCACCTATCCGGTTGAGTCTGCAGTTGCTGTGCGAGTCTTGTTAACCAAGACCATTGTAAGATGTGGACCCGCGGCTTGCAAGGAAATCACAGCTAAGACTTGCGACCGGAGGTATAGTGGTGACGATGGCTCGAAGCGGCGGGGAAGCCCCCGGCAGCCGGTCCGTGTCCAATATGCATTGGCATGCTAGGACTGAAGGGGTGCAGAATGGTCTTCGACTCGTGACCGCCGGGCGAGAGAAGGGACGAGACACTGCCGGCTGCATAGAGCACCGGCTCACCCGCCATACCCTGCTTATCGTAGCCAGTACTGCTACTAACGGCCACTGAGCCGGCATCGCCTGGACCGCCGCACCGCAGCGGGTCCCTACCAAAGTGTGGCATGGCCGCGGCGGAACCGCTCAGCGAGGTGCGGCGCACCTGCGGCCGTGGCCCGGTCTTGACGCACGTCTCGCGATCTCCCAGGGCACGGTACAGCAACTCTGGCGGGCAGGTGAACTTGTATACGTAGCGCTCTCCGGACACCTTCTGCATGATGCCCTTGTCGTAGTAGTAGCGCAGCGAACGTGACAGTTTGTCGTAGTTCATGGCTGGACGGTGCTTAATCTCGCCCCACCGCACGGCCACTTCCTCCGGCTCCAGGAGGCAGAACTCCAGTTGACTGTGGTCCGTCCACTTGATCAGTGTCGCGTCACCGGTGGTTTCATCGAGCAGTGACAAGAGGAATTGCCACAGCTGCATTGCACCACGACCTGGACAATACACAGACCAAGAACACGCGGCAGGGTAAACCAGCATGGACTTTCGGAACACTTTCAACTCCGAATGATGTACTTTGTAGTAGTGTTGTACATACCGGTACAACACTGAGATAGGCAGGCACCACGTGCACACAATACTCTTTCTGCTGTTCAGGTTAACATGCTTCAAGATACTGCAGGCAGATTTTCCGCTCTACAAAGCAATGCATTGTAGAAAATCAGTCTGCCAGTGTAGTCTGCAATACATTAGCTGTAGTATATTTTGGGACAGGGTAAGGTTGGTATTCACAGAGAATAACTTTGGAATAGTCTGTGGTTCCTGTTACGATCATACTGAACAGCCAAAGCTCAGTCTGTGTTTCACACATACACACACTGGTAAATATACCCCACACTGTAGACCGCATGACTCAGTCCCGGCTGCATACTTTGATTGCTATAGACAGCATTGGCATACATGTCCCATTGAACGCTAAAATAGCCTGGTGTCTTCTTCGCATTTCAGGTGGCTTAGGACTAGTTAGTAGCACCGTCTTTAGCGGTTTAGTGCTAACTTGATGAGGTCGTAGCCAAGGTCTAATTCCAAAGACCACCTAGTTTCCTGTTGGAAGTAACATCGGAGGCATGGGAAACGCTTTGGGGTGGGTACAACAAGGATAGCAACACGTGCTAAAATGAGCCAAGCCGCTGGACTGTAAACATCGTAATGATGTTTCCTGGAGATTCTTGGCTGCTTACTAACTTCCCCAGTACTAGACGTTTCTGCTTGCCTTGCAGAAAGGCACACCGTGTGAGACAGGCGCGCGTTCTCATTTAGTCCTTTTGAGTATGGTACTGCAGTCCATACATCCGAATTGGATTCGGTGAAAAATGGAGATATTGTTAAAAACAACATGGACCACGTATAGATTTCCACCATCTGGCATGTACACAAACCGACCCGGTAATAGGCCCGCGATAACGCTACCACCAAACACATGCATGCTTGCAGACAGCACCCGCCATCTGTACTTACGTTGCGGTAGTCTGACGTTCTTCGGTACTTGTAGCCGACCAGTGGAGAACATTGGCGACGGAGTGCCTCCCATTTGGTCGGCGTGGCCGAACTGCTCTGGCCCAACACCCGCCATGTTAGCTGCTACTCCTCTCGGCTGTAAGGTCGTGTACATGCCACATGTAGACACGGAGGCTAGATCGGCCGCCATAAGCCCGCCACCGTTGCCTCCACCGCCGACTACCGGGTCCAGACCATTGGCGGTGACGTGCAGTGCCGGCTTGATATCTACGGACAGTACATGGGCCGCAGATGTACAAAACACCACAAGTCTCAGTATTGTCGTCTTTATAGAAAAGAAAAGGACCAAGGAACTACAACTTTCACGATAATGAAAATGTCCACTAACACCACCAGTTACTTGACGATCAGCTCATGCGATAACATTGCACGACACTGACCAATGGTACTGACTACTGATGTTCCACAACTAACTGCCAATCAGCTCTAGCACGTCTTGGATGCGCACTCCAACAGCCTTCCAAATAGGAAGGTTCTAAGTTTTAGGAATAACATAGGAGGGGAACCTATGTTAGTCCTATAACTTAGAACCTTCCAACTTGGAAGGCCGTTTGAGTGCGCATCCAAGACGTGCTAGAGCTGATTGGCAGTTAGTTGTGGAACGTCAGTACCATTGGTCAGTGTCGTGCAATGTTATCGCATGAGCTGATCGTCAAGTAACTGGTGGTGTTAGTGGACGTTATAGCGTAACTTGTTTTACTGCCAGAAGTCGTCTTCATATAAGGAGTCAGATATGCCTGTTTGTTGTACGACTTTAAATAAATCCAACCAACCAACCAACTTGTAGTTCCTTGGTCCTTTTCTTTTCTATAAATGTATGCTTGGCTCTTCATCCGAGTTTATTATCATCTTTCATTATTATTTTTGTGTGTGTATTAGATTTAGAGTGATCGATCAAGCTAGGGCGAGGGAGCGTAATACTCTGATTTTTTTTAAAGACTGTCCTTAGTGTCTTGGACTCCTGCGCCTGCTAGATGTGGCACAGTCCTGCCCTTTCAACTTTTAAAGCCGAAGGTGTAAAAAATACCAAAATCGCTTGTAGTTGTCCGAGCACATGCACCGTATGAAACCTACATGTATGTTTTTGCACCCCATCAACCAACTCACGCAATCATTTTTATAATTACACTATCAGCCCGGATCATCCATTCGCGCTATGATCCAAGCTTGCAGCCTATATCAATCTTATCTTCTGAAAATTGTAGTCAAGTTGCTGTCTGATGATCGGTTAAAACCGTGAAACTCGGAGTTACAGAAGAAAAACTTTTCGTCCCTCTCAAGTGTGTGTGTGTGTTCCTATGGTAACCAAACATTTTTCAAATTCTGCCTACGGTAACCGTACTACCCTCCTGGGAGTAGAGTGTGGACCCCGTAACCTAGGTTACCTTGGCTGAAGAACTGGTGGCCTGCTGCATTGGGAAGTGTAGCATTTGCCAGCTGCAAAGGTGTGCCTGTGAAATCCACTGGTGGAGCTGAATCGTGATCCCAGGGTTGTGGCAGGAAGGCTGCGTGTAGGGCCAGTGGATTGTTGCTGTTGCCCACGAGGCCAGCAGCAGCCACTGCAGAGCCCAGTGACTGAGACTGGCCATGCATGGCATGCTGATGCTGCTGGTGGGAGTGCTGCTGCTGCTGTTGATGATGATGATGCTGGTGCGGGTGAGAGTGGTGAGGGTTGTGAGAATGGCTTGCTGCTGGTACGCCACCACCACCACCGCCACCGCCACCGCTGCCATGGTTGTTTCCTTGTCGTAAGCCATACTCATATGTTGCATTGAAAACCACCCGCATCGACGGGTGGGCCGAGTTGCCAGCATTTGGGTGATACGCGGCGGCAGCAGCAGCGGCAGCGGCAGCAGTACTGGCACCAGCGCCACCAGAACTGCTGCTCCTACCTCCAGTAGCCGTGCCGTGTGCAGCCAGCGTCAGATCCGCGCCTGGCTGCTGACAACCGACGATGTGAAAGGAGTTCGAGGGCTGAGCGGACGCCACGTTTGCTACAAGGCCGGACGAGGAGGTGTACACACCGGATGAATCGCTAAATGCGTGCGCCAATGCCTCGTCAGCTGCGGACGGTGCTGCCACGACATGGGCAAAGACCGGATCCGAGTTGAGGTTCTTCAAGACTTCATCCAGTAACTCTAGAGTGCATGCCGTAACAGAGAGAGAGGAGCAGAAAATGATGATGATATCCTCTGCAGGAAACACAATCGATCAGGCACTGCCAGAAACGAGAGTCACACAGACTTCACAGAGCATTCACTGCCCTGAAAACCTACTACTACTGGCGTACTTGGATAGTGGTATCGGTAGGAGCAGGTGTCACAAAGCTTGAAACCACCACACCGCACTCCTGACTCGCCGCAAGCAACGTCCAACAAACCACATGCAATGCAAACGGCAGAACACGCAGCGACTGGAAAACAGCAAGAAGAAGAATCCGAGACTAATGTCACCTGGTAGGCGCACAAGTGAAATGAGAAAATAACGAGTGGGGATCGGTACACAGTACACAGATACAGATACTGAACATTTTCTTACCTTCGTCGTCGTCCTGGCCACCTCTACTACTGTTGGCATCGGACAACGCGAACGGGTTCAGGGAAGCCGGGAGGGAGCAGAAGGCAGCGTCTGCATTTTCCTCAGAATCTAGCGTCTGTTCCGCTTGTTCGACCTACCACGAAACAACACAACATGCAGCACCATCACTCTCACAGAATCACGGTAATTGTTATAGCATTCTGGAGTCCAATGCCTGGCGGCCGATCGTGATAATTGACACGCCACACGCATACATGTATATGCATGGGCAGTGAAATCATAATGAGCTCAGCTCCAGAAGCACTGCACCATGTAGATCTGTGTGTCGCCAGCCAAGCGAAACAGATGGTAGCGAGAGGTGCAAGGACAATGATGGACTGGTGGACTGATGCAATGATGGACTTGACGACTTCATGCATGTAGAATCCACATGAGCACAAACAGACTCCCGAGGCCTGTGTGCCGTTCTAACTTCTACTTCTAGCTTGCGGGTGGTGCCCAGGCTGAATCAAATCCTTTGATAAGCTATCCCGCTGCAATTATGTATTGATTAGCGAATGTTGTGAGTCGATAATGTTAGCAGGTAGACCTACTACACACTACAACACACTACTACACACCAGTCGCTACTGCACTACACTTTTTTTCTCATTTCTACCTTTTTTCTTTTTTTTTGGCATTACTTTACCCTACAAGTACAACTAATTACTTTCAAGTCTCCCTTCTCATGTTCAGCGTCACCTGGCCACAGTGCGGCGATGCTATTCAGCCATTTTCAGTGAACAGTCTGCGGACCTCACCAGGAGTAGTTGAGTCGCATCATGTCAGGCTCATGCGCGTCATGGTCATACAACATTTTGCTTTGAATACAATCATGTACAATGCATACGGATAACCGAAATGCAATGATACCTATTCGTATACTAGTATCTATGTACGAGTACTGAATTCACACCACATGCATATACATGTGCATAGAGTGTCTCGCCCGCGGCCTCCCTTGGGTCTGTTCCATAATCGGCAAGTCCGGGCGCACGAGTTAAAGCCAGTTTTTAGGCCATTGCTGATCTCTATTCAAGGAACTCTTCTGCTTTGCCAAAGCGCACGTCTGGATTGTCCAAACAGTAGCCAGCAAACACCCATGCTATGCTGGTCAACACACACTGCAAGATTGTGTGGTGTGCAGCAACAGCGCACATGTGCACATCAGCTTCAATAGCTTCTCAATAGGCCTCCGTCTCCTATCAAGTCTAGCGCGACCGTAAAGGAGGCCTGGCGTATCACATGGAAGGTCGCACAGTCGTCTGTCTGCACATGACAGTGTGTCACAGGTTCGACTCCCACAATTCCGACTCTGCACATCATCAATTTAGTGGAAGTGTATTACCGTATTTGTACGAGCATTTCGAACCCCAAACAAAGCAATTACTGAATTAGAAACCAGTCCACAACATTCCTTCTTTCTCTTCACATTGACTCGTGGTGGCGTGCACAGGAGTGGTGCATAGCGGAGATTACAAGCGTAAGCGGCGGCGAGGAAATCCACTAACACTAACTTACCGTGATGTGAAGCTTGTCTCCGGTCACTGCTACGGGAACACGGGGAAGGTCGGGAGCACAGGACGAGAGCACCGCCGCTGGCTGCTGTTGTTGCTGGAAATGTCGCTCTTGCTGATCTTGTTGGTGGTGGTGATGGTTTCGATTTGGTCCCTCTTCGCTGTCGCTGCTACTACTGCTGCCGCTGCCAAAGGTGCTATTGTCACTGGTGCTGTCACTATTGCTACTGCTGCTACTGCTGGTGCTGGCGCTGTTGGGGATGATGATATTGTTCTTGTCGCCACTGGTATTGTTGGTAGTGAGATTGGGCGATGCTGGATCGCTGCTGGTGCTCGACTCACAACAGCTCAGGTCGCTGGTGCTACTGGTGTGTGCTTCTTGTGCAGTGCTGGTCATAGTGCAGCCTCACAACCTAACGACACAATTGCGTGAAATTGTCTATCTACTGAATAGAGAATGGCGCGTTCTACGATGTACAGCCTATCTGCTTCCAAACATTGATCCGGTTACAACTCTAGGTACACGGACTGTAGTCGAGACTGAAACAAGGGTAGAAACACCGATCGACAGCTTGTACATCTACGCCTACAGGTAATACTGTAATACTAGTAATACTTGTAATATCACTCTACTGCTGGTTATACTGGTGCTGAAACTGTCACCGGTGACCTAAAAGAGGACTCCCCTTCGTAGTGTGTCAAATTAAAACCGATCGTTCATCTCAAGTTCTCCAGGATGAAGTGCCGAGCTGGAACTATGTCCGACCAAGACATAAGACATGCTGAAGGATGAAAAGCTAAGTCGGGCGATATAGGGTTCATCCAGGCTTTGCTCAGCGCCACGATTCAGTGAGAGAACGATGCGGATTGCGGTGGACTTGAAGGGTGGCGAGAAGCCAGGGGGGTTGTGATGTGCCCGTTGCATGGCTTTGGCCTGTGTGCAGCAAGTCTGTGCGGTGTGTCGCCTGGACTATATATCTTGGCCGTATATATGCGTGTGCGTGTGCGTGTGGTGTGTGTGTGTGTGTGTGTGTGTGTGTGTGTGTGTGTGTGTGTGTGTGTGTGTGTGTGTGTGTGTGTGTGTGTGTGTGTGGTGTGTGCGTGTGTGCGTAAGAATCCAAAGGAAATGAGCTTCATGCAATTCTCTCAGCTTTAACACGTATTATCATGCCATCTCCGCCATCCGGAAGATGGTGACGAACATTGGACCTTGGCCTGACTGAGCTGAGGCCCTGTATCCTCCCTAAAAATATGCATCTATTGTTGTTTTGATGCTGAGGCGTAGAAGCTAGCAGTCACAGCCAGTATGCTTTGGTAATGGTCATTGGTTATTGCTCCTGGACGTGCAGTGCGTCGCCCTTCTCAGCTTCTGACATTCCACAGCACCCCCGAGAAGCTTCGTGCAGAGGTCGTCCGATCCGGCTGGTAAAAAATAGAACGTGTCTATAGCAGTATAGGGCATCACTTGTAGAGTAACTCCTCGACTGTCAGCTGCGTGGGTGGTGGTGAAAGCCTCGCTGGGCCCAGTGCAGTGCAGCGATACCGGAAGGCACGCGCGCAGACAGCTCTCTTCTCTTCAGTTCACTTTCGAACAGGTCCCGGACGCCAGCTGCTTCCTAGTTGGCTGGATCACCTAGTCTGACTCACTCGCTCAGCTGACTCACTCTTCAACATCAAAACTAGTTTCCACGCGCTTTTGAGGTTGATGGCTGTCATCGGGCCCAACTCCGCTGCCTCCTTGCAGATTGCAGTGACCAGTCGTGGCCGTGTGAGCTAAGGGTGCAGCTCACAGCCTCCAAGACACCATCACTTGTCGTAGGACAATGCGGGTCTACGGCTGAGAGGCGGGTGAAAGTGAAAGACGTAGCGTCATCGTAATTTTACTTGTATAATTGTCCCAATGGCGCCCTCAATGCTGTTACTGTGCTGCAATCGAGGGGAGGGGTGCGTGCGGGGTCTGCAAACAATCCGCGCTCCAATAAGATTGTACACAAAACCCGCTACCACTACGTTACTGTAGCCTAGAGCCAGTAGAGGTAGCCCCTTACCTTGCTCATGCAAATCGCGGCATGTCTTCCTAGTACTGTACTTGTTACTGTGTGTATGGATCAGTACATGTGCCGTGTGGTCAGAGCTTCTTGTCGATAGAGTTGTGTAGCCTAATAGCATTAGTATTACATGTGCAGTTGTAGGCATGTGTTATGTGTGTGTACGATCGTGTACCACCGTCTTGACCTGTTTCAATTTGCAACAAGGTCAGATCGGTGGTGAGTGAGAGAGAGAGAGTTCAGTAGGTTTGGTACAATGATAGCTACTGAGCTGGCCCCAAACGCTGGCCGAATCGAGTATTACTCCAGGCTCAAGTGCCGGCGAATTGTGAACGAGTTGAGACGCTTACATCCAGTATTCTGCGCCTAAATATAACCTACGCAGAACGCGTGGGCAGACTGTCCACAACAATACTCAACAGTGTTCTGTGCGTCCCTGTGCCTATATTAATCTCCTATTGTCTTCGGTGGTCTTACAAGCCTTGAACTGATCTCCTTTAAAGACTGAACACAAGTTCATGTGCACTCCTCATACTGTAACGTTAAGTCTAAGTCTAAGAGAGCGCGGGTGGCGCCACCTACAGTACATTGTACATAGTGAAACTATCAAAGAGCATACTATGACATGAAACAGCATTGCCAGTGGGAACTACGGTGCTACAATATCAAAACAGTGACAACTTTTGTACATACAAGTACATGTACGTCTTCCGCACACACAGTTCAGGCTTCAGCTAGGCAATATAGATGTGCAATGTACATGAACCGGTCTTCCACACCAGCATAACATCCTTTGATAGTCAAAAATCATTCCATTCCTTTTTTTCTTCCATAAAAGTTTCTTCATACATGTATATAACGTTCATAGTCATACACATGTAGGAAGGCATAGCTGCCTAATTATGACTATTAGAAAAACATATAATTATATAACAACAGCAGCAACGCCGGCTAGGTGATCTTTGTTGTGCTCACGCGCTTGGATATTGAAGTGTGGGTGGATGTCGTGTTTGCAGACTGCACTCGAAGCAGGTAACGATTTCAGGTGACGGTATACATGACTGTACAGTTTTATCACCTTTCTTAGTACCGCGATCCTCACTGGCTATGGCACTGAATCGGTGTCCCGCCATACTGGGCTTTAAATAGTGGGTTATTTTTCTTGATGTTCATATCACCTGATGAGTGCCTGAGATGGCATGAAACTTTAAGTTGTGACTGATCAGGCCATCTGTTGTTCTGACTAGTGTGACTGTACACAGTCACTCATGTACATTGTGATGTATTATTCCCGAATCCCTCTTGTTGGTCTCTCTCAAGTCGTTGCCAGTCGTGCAGCTATGGAGATAGTATGTAGTATGTAGTACCCACCGTTCTCTTGCCAGGCTAGCTATGATGTACATGTAGACGCTACACAGCCATACACAGTTGCACATACATGTACATGACCTTCAACAGCATCAATATCACTTGCGCGATCATGATACAAGAAGGAATGCCGAGCCAACTATCACGGTATGTAAAAAAATTTAATTATAATCACCATTGAATGCCAATCATGTACAGCCATGTACTACTAGTACAATTTAATGCTGTGCGCCGCAAGCAGAACATCCTACTACCCTGACTTGGTCCAGTGCAGTGGTTGTGAACACACTCACGTTGAAATCGTATCCTACTACAAGTGCAGTAAGTCAGTGAGTGAAGTATCATCTTGATCGTGTAGTTCTGATGTGGTGTAGGTGCGGCTGGGCGATGCCGTGAGAGTGACCTCGGTGAACTCTTGATCGCATCCCATCGTCATACAATGATCATCAAGGCCCCAGCGCTGCAGCAGGAGTCGAGGCACAAATATGGGAAGATCTTCCGTTCGCATTCAGTGCAGGGCTAGCTGTGAAGGCTGATCGTATCCGATCGTCCAGTAACGCCTCTACTATTACAGCGCGTGCTGAAAGGAGTCTTAGCCTGACTTACATGTAGCTGTAGGTAGCCAAAACCGCTACTGTCAGTTTCGGGCTGTCGGGGTCTGTTGTATACACATTCTTGGGCACAACTATTTGTGGATTGACACAGATCGTCTCCCCGCCATATTGGAGCGCCTGAAAACTATGTATTGTCTTGTTATAGTTGCAAGGTGGATCAATCTCACCCGGAAGGTTCCGTACCCCGACAATGTCCTCTGTCCTGTTACATGGCCTTTAACTACTTCCAACCCGAGCAAGCGACAGCCTAAGTTACCCTGCCTTTCCGTATCGATACTCTACATTGTGTGTCATTCCACACTGCGCCTATTTCCTATTCCTTGGCGACCTACGCCGTGGCTGTATTTGTGATACAATGTTCTTGCAGTTGAAAGCGAGCCTCGCATCCTGCTTGCTTTAATGACCTTGCTGTGCATGTATTGTTTAGGACACCGTCTGTGGTGCAAGATAATAAGCAAAACGACACTTTTGTCTTGATCGGTGATGATGTGGGAGCCTTATTAAGTTAACAAAAGCAAGGCTTCAGAGCAAGAACGTACAGTCATCTGGTGACAGGTCAGGCAAGTGCTGCGTCTCGAGCTCCTGTCTTCGGTTGGGCCTCACTTCACTTGTCCTTCCTTCCCCATTTAAGAATATCCACGTTAGGCAAGAAGTGTTTCAGCAGGCAACGATAAGACAGTAGTTTACCCTGTTAGAGCACTCAATGACCGTACCGTGATGGGCAGAGCGCAATACACAAGACGTACACAAAGAACGCAATACACAAGAGGTACACGAAGGAAACTCTTGCACAACTGTACATTGTTTTATGATCTATTTCATGGATGACACAACCTACTCGTGAGAAGAGGAGAGAGGAGCTGCAGGACAAGACAACAATGGGAAGAGTTGGGGCTCCAAGAAGGAACCTGTGCAAAAAGGTCTCGGCGTCACCGCGAGCTTGCGCACCATGAGTTTATAGCCAGGTAAAGGAGAGAAAACAGAATGGAGGCGAGGCTATTGTGAAAAGTAAGGATGCGTGGAGAGAATGATGGGAGCGCAGAAGATGTATGGATGATCAGGGGTGGAGGACAGGAGCATTCTAGATGCTAGAAGGGGTGCACGAATATTGATAGTTGTTCCTAGCGGGAGTCAGTGGCCCAAAGCCAATGACTACGGAGAATATGGTGGTGGACATTTGCCTTGAAAGCTTGGAGGCCGCGGAGTCTTCTTGAGGGATGGCTGTATGGTGAACAGGGAAGCCTGGAGCGTATTCTCGGCCAGGTTGACGCTGAACGGAAATGAATGTACATGATTCTTTTATTGTATTTTATTTTTGTAGCCTTTGTAGGTTTATTATAATTGAGAGTCATGCAGCTACATGTACAGTCGTGATATTATTAGATAAACCGTTGGTGGTTGACAGCATGTTAACATGTTACAAGGCGGAAGAACATCGTGTTCGGAAACAGTGACCTTACTACAAGCATCCCCGTTGGTAGAGCCTGATAGTGATACGTTACTATTTACGACGGGGCGTGATGTGTATCTATATTCATTACGTCATAGTTGTACTGCATGCACGCACACACACAGATTAGTTGAGTGTGCTTCTTTTTCCTGTTGTTCTTTCTCATGACATGTTTTGTTTCCGTTCCCAAGTCTTCACGAATAAATAGTAACGTATCATGGCGCAGTGAACTTGTTCTTTCCTGTGTCCGTGCCTTGTGTCCGCACCTTGTAGTGTTTGCACGGGCCCAGTTGTTTTTTTCCGTATGAAGTAGTAGTTTCCGCGATCGAAACTCTGTCTCAGTTGAATTATTTTA